CGCCGCACCACTATCAAGTAGCACATCTGCCTCGAACTTGGCATGCCGGCCGAACTTGCATGCTCACTTCGGAGCTCGATCATCGGCTCCAATCGCATACACTCCTCGAACTTCTCCCACGAATACTTCCACGCTCCCAGTTGGTTGTGCTGATTTCCCAGGGGACCCAGGGCTCTTGATTTTCTGGGCTTCACCTGCAACACCACAAGTCGATGCGGTAGGAGGACCTCGCCCGCCATCACGTGAGAGATCAGGACAATTCCTCTTGAAATGGCCACCTTTATCACAATTATAACAATGGAAGGTCGATAGATTGGCCGATGTCCCTTTACCGAATGGTCGATCAACATTCTCCTGTCGACCACCGTCATGAGCTTGCTTATTTCTTCTCGTAAATTTTTGGATCGTAACGACTCTTTATTCTAGCGAGAAGTCCCGGCGGAATACCATCGAGAAATCGCTGCCGCAACTCGCCCTCACTTACATTGCATTTCTCCGGCAGTGCTACTGCCATGCTCCTAAGCCGTGACATAAAAGACACCATCGACTCGTTGCTCTGCTTCTTGGCCTGCTGGAGCTGCTGCCTTGCCCGGCCGTGTGACCAAACGGACCCATATTCCTCCTGTAGTCATTGTAAAAGATGTTTCAACGGCTCGATGCCCTCGGGTATCTCCTTGGTCAAGCACGTATGAGCTCGCACTCTTCAGTGGCGAGAAAGCGCCCGATTCGATGTCGCTCGATGAGTGGCAGGCGCGATGGTGCTCGATTGCTCGTTCAAAGAACTGCACCCCACAGGAGAGGAGATCTAACTTGATTAATAGCCTGACGGGGCTTATAGACTCTTTTCTAAGCGAAGCTTTGCCCCATCTTTAACTGATGAGGCAGTCGAACGAGAGATTTGGCTACGTCTCCATAGGTCTTTCGGCCAAGGAGAGAAGCAAAGCTTCAAGAAGCTGATTGCCATGCAATTCCGCATTGGCCAAGATCCCGTGGATTGTTATGGAGCCGATGTGCGACACAATACAGTGTTGGCATTCAGAGATCTCGATACCGCTTCCCATGAGAGGATTGCGGCGATCTTCTATTGGAATTCACTGCCTCAGACGCAAACGGTGCGTCAGAGCTATGGTCTCTGGTCTTCCTTAGAACTCAAGGAGAGGACCCTTACGAAAGCTATTGATCTCACCAGGCCTCTATTTGAGGTAGACGAGACTGGTGGTGGTCCCACTCAAGCAGGAGGCCCCAAGGAATTCAGCGCGGTAGTTGCCGCCCCAGGAAAGGGCCAGCAGCCCCAGAAGGGCAATTCTAAAGGCTGGAGATCTTCTAAAGGCTGGAATCAGAGGTGGTTCTTTGGCAAGGGGAACCAACCTCAAAAAGGAAAAGGCCAGTCCAAGGGACATGGCAAAAGAAAAGGATATCGTAGCACTCCTTATCCTCAATATGGATATGATCAGTGTTACAGCTGTGGTGGTTATG